CCAGCTCCCACTTCCCACCCCTCCAGCTCCCACTTCCCACACCTCCAGCTCCTGTTTCCCATCCCTCCAGCTCCTGTTTCCCACCCCTCCAGCTCCCACTTCCCACCCCTCCAGCTCCCACTTACCACCCCTCCAGCTCCCACTTCCCACCCCTCCAGCTCCTGTTTCCCACCCCTCCAGCTCCTGTTTCCCACCCCTCCAGCTCCCACTTCCCACCCCTCCAGCTCCCGTTTCCCACCCCCGCAGCCGCTCGGGATGGCTGGGAAGCCCCTGAAAGAAAAAGCTGGATTTCTTCTGGGAAAAGGGACGTTGGTCTTGGAGGGGATAGAAAAAGGTGAGTGTACCTGGAGGAGGTGGCGGGTTCAGGCTGAGTGAGCAGGGCTGGAGGGTGTCCTGGGTTTGATGCCACCAGGGATTCCCGGTGGTGCTGGCTCAGGGACCCACGACCCTGCAGCATTCCCAGGGAACGGGGGGAGCACGGGAAGGTGATGGCAGGACCCTCCCGGTATCTGTTGTGGCACCGGGACACGCCACGGGGAGTTTGTCCTTCCAAGTGGGATTTTGTTCTTGCCGCGTGTTTCGGTGCTGGGAAAGAGGCGTTTTCCTGGTGGATCCCACGGGAGCAGCGGGATGAGGTGGATCCCGGGCAGCAGGCAGGGATGCAGCAGGCAGGGATGCAGCAGGGATGCAGCAGGCAGGGATGCAGCGGGCAGGGATGCAGCAGGCAGGGATGCAGCAGGCAGGGAGGCAGCAGGGATGCAGGAGGCAGGGATGCAGCAGGCAGGGATGCAGCAGGCAGGGATGCAGCAGACAGGGATGCAGCAGGCAGGGATGCAGCAGGCAGGGATGCAGCAGGGATGCAGCAGGCAGGGAGGGATGCAGCAGGCAGGGATGCAGCAGGCAGGGATGCAGCAGGCAGGGATGCAGCAGGCAGGGATGCAGCAGGCAGGGATGCAGCAGGCAGGGATGCAGCCGGCAGGGATGCAGCAGGCAGGGGGGGAGCAGGCCG